ATCAGTTTCTCCAACTTGAATGCATATGGCTATGCGTCCGAGTCTGCCGACTGCCAAAAGACGGTGGGGAACGTGCTGCTCGAGATCCCGAGTAAGATTGCAGGATTATTTGGGCGCGAGGGAAAGGGAAGGAAAGTGGATATATTCAGAAACTTTGAGGGTGTTGTAAGACCAGGAGAAATGCTCTTGGTGCTTGGTCCACCGGGAAGGTGAGTGTTAAATCTGTTGTATTTCGAATGATAATTTGACGCTTGCACAGTGGCTGCACCACGTTGCTCAAAACGATTGCTGGAGAGACTGATGGATTCTTCATTAACGATGATGCTAAAATCAATTATCAAGGTTATTCTCTATCCAAGTCTAGAATGAACTTGGTGTTGATTTTTTTACATAGGAATTCCCAAGGAAACTATGCACAAAGATTTCCGTGGTGAAGTCGTCTACAACGCCGAGAACGATGTACATTTCCCCAATCTGACCGTCGGCCAAACCCTTCAATTCGCTGCTAGAGCTCGTACCCCTCGTGCCCGTCTCCCTGGCGTTACCCGTGAACAGTGGGCCGATCATATGAGGGATGTGGTCATGGCAGTTTTCGGTCTTTCGCATACGTTGAACACGAAAGTTGGGAACGATTTTATCCGTGGTGTTAGCGGCGGAGAGAGAAAGCGGGTCAGTATTGCAGAAGCAACCTTGAGCGGAAGCCCGCTTCAATGCTGGGATAACAGTACCCGTGGACTTGACAGCGCTACAGCGTTGGAGTTTGTCAAGACCGTGAGCTTATCTGCGAAGTACATGGGGTCAACAGCTATAATCGCGGTCTATCAGGCGTCGCAGAACATGTACGATGTGGGTGCATCGTCCTAATCCCCGCCTTCTTCCGACGTCTGACGCTTGTCCTTTGAAGATTTTTGACAAGATTACTGTTCTCTACGAAGGTCGACAGATATATTTTGGACGGACTGAAGACGCAAAAAAGTTTTTCGTCGACATGGGCTTCCGCTGTCCGGATAGGCAAACTACTGCAGATTTCTTGACAGTAAGAAACCTTTTTGGCCCATAGTGCTACTCGCCTCACCCATTTTTACTTTCTAGTCTTTGACTAATCCTGCAGAGCGCAAGGCGCGTCCTGGTTTTGCATCCCGAGTTCCACAAACACCAGATGAGTTTGCGCGGATGTGGAGAGAGAGTCTTGACCACAAAAGACTACTCACAGAGATAGACCAATTCAATGGAGAGTTTGCTCTTGGTGGACCCCAGTTGGACAAGTTCAGGCAATCGAGAACGAGTGTGCAGGCAAAAGGCCTGTATGTACACTGTTTATTTCCATCGTTCGAAAAGTTGACATTTTGTTTTCAGTGGCTCGAAATCTCCTTACACCATTTCAGTACCTATGCAAATCAAGCTTTGCCTAACTCGCGGGTTTCAACGGCTCCGGGGCGATATGTCCCTCCTTATCAGCAATGTCATTGGCAACCTTGTCTTCGCCTTGATCGTGTCGAGTATTTTCTTCAATTTGCCAGCGGATACCAGCAGCTTCTACTCTCGCGGTGCCTTGCTCTTTTATGCAATTCTCACGAATGCCTTCAGTAGTGCTCTGGAGGTGGGCTTTCTTATATTTCTTCACCTCTAGCGACAATTTAAATGATATGTCGACTTAGATTTTAACCCTTTACGAGCAACGGCCTATTGTTGAGAAACACTCACGAATGGCACTCTATCATCCGTTTTGCGAAGCAATTTCCTCCATGATCTGTGATTTGCCCTCTAAAATTTTGACTGCGTAAGCTCTATAGGTTTTGATTGAAACAGAAACTGACCTATGAATCCTAGTATCCCGTTCAATCTAGTGCTCTACTTTATGACCAATCTGCGACGTACACCGGGTCATTTCTTTATTTTCTTCCTCTTCTCTTTCGTATGCACCCTCACCATGTCAATGATATTTCGGACTATTGGAGCATCGACGCGGACGATTTCGCAGGCCATGGCACCCGCTGCGATTGTTATGGTTGGCCTCGTTATATACACCGGATTTACGATCCCTATTGTCGACATGCATCCGTGGTTCAAATGGATCAACAACATTAACCGTAAGCGCAACTCTATCGCTGAGGCTCGCAGTTTGATTTGAGTTTTATTTTAGCGATTGGATACGCTTTCGAGAGCTTGATGTTGAACGAGTTCTTTGGACGAGAGTTTCCTTGTGTTACCTTTATTCCCGAGGGCCCTGGCTATACCAATGTAACTGGTGCCGAACGGATTTGTGCCACCACGGGGGCTGCCGCGGGGTCCAATGTCGTTGAAGGAGGAGCTTATCTAGCTACGAGCTTCAGTTACTTTGAGTCCCACCTTTGGAGGTATTTGTTATTTTCTTTTGAATGTTTTGAGTAACACATTTATCTTTTTCCCAGAAACTTTGGAATTTTGATTGTGTTCATGGTATTTTTCTTGATTACAGCCCTTCTGGCAACAGAGTACATCACTGCAGCCAAGAGCAAGGGTGAAGTCCTTGTATTTCGTCGAGGTCATATCCAAGCCGAGACCAAATCTCGCGCCAACGATGAAGAATCTGCTCCGGGCCCTGCGTATAAATCTGATTCGAGCACTCCCGCTCTCCACCCTGTGCGGAGAAACGCCGATGATGTCTCCGGGTTGCAGCAACAAACGGCAATCTTCCAGTGGGAGGACGTCTGTTATGATATCAACATCAAAGGTGGAACTAGGCGCCTTCTAGATCATGTCGATGGATGGGTGCAGCCAGGAACTTTAACAGCGTTGATGGTGAGTAGCCAGCCAATTTCTGGCATCAAAATTCTAACAATCTGTGTTTGCTAGGGAGCTTCTGGTGCAGGAAAGACGGTGCGTCTGACATTTGATGTCTATTACATGTTAATCATAATAATCATCGATTGTTTAGACTCTTCTGGATACTCTCGCCAGTCGAGTCACTACAGGTGTTGTCACTGGGGACATGTTCGTCGATGGACAGGAACTAGACGAATCCTTCCAGCGGAAAACTGGCTACGCCCAACAGCAGGACTTGCATCTTCCGACCTCGACTGTTCGCGAGGCATTAATATTCAGTGCTCGTTTACGACAGCCTGAAGATGTACCTGATGTTGAGAAAGTAGCATATTGTACCGAAGTTATTCGTTTATTGGGTATGGAGAAATATGCGGATGCTGTTGTTGGTGTTCCTGGTGAAGGTGCGGAAATGCCCCGATTATTGCTTTTCTGAAACTAACTTGTCTTTTTTCTTCTAGGTCTCAATGTCGAGCAGCGTAAGCGCTTGACCATCGGCGTTGAACTCGCAGCCAAACCCAAGCTCCTTCTGTTCCTTGATGAGCCGACCTCCGGTCTTGACAGTCAAACTGCTTGGTCGATCTGTACCCTTCTTCGTGAATTGGCCAATAATGGTCAGGCAATTCTGTGCACTATTCATCAGCCTTCAGCTCTACTTTTCCAAGAATTCGATCGCCTGCTGTTCCTGGCTAGTGGAGGTCGCACCGTATACTTTGGGGACATTGGTCCAAATTCGAGGACATTAATATCCTATTTCGAGAGCCAGGGTGCCAAACCTTGCCCACCTGATGCCAACCCTGCAGAATGGATGCTTCACGTCATTGGGGCTGCACCAGGTGCTGTGGCTGAACGAGATTACGCCGACGCTTGGCGCAAAAGCGATGAATATGTCGCGATGAAGAAAGCGCTTGCCAGGAGGCGGCAACTTTCCTATTTCTGTCCCCAACCGACAACCGACGAAAAGCGCAAATACAACAGAGAATTTGCTGCTCCATTCCAAGTGCAATTTGTCTTGTGCTTGTACCGGGTCTTTCAGCAGTATTACCGCACTCCTTCTTACATTTACTCGAAAGCCTTTCTTTGTGTCACCACGGTAGGGTTTTTTTTTGAATCTGTACCACGCGCCACCCTAACGAGTTTGATAGGCACTTTTTATCGGGTTCACGTTTTTCAAGTCGGATAACACTTTGCAGGGCCTCCAAAACCAGATGTTCTCCGTCTTCATGCTCTTGACAATCTTTACAAATCTGGTAAATCAGATCATGCCTCATTTTGTCGCCCAACGTTCGCTGTACGAGGCCCGCGAACGTCCATCAAAGGCATACTCGTGGATAGCATTCATGCTGTCGAATATTTGCGTGGAGCTTCCTTGGAATACCGTCATGTCTTTCTTCATGTACTTCACGTGGTACTATCCCATCGGGCTATATCGTAACGCAGAGCCCACTGGTACTGTCACAGAACGCGGACTTCTTTTGTTTTTGCTTCTATGGTCCTTCATGATGTTCACGTCCACCTTCACCCACATGATCATCGCCGCTATGGATCCTGAGCAAGCTGGTAATATTGGCACCCTCCTGTTCTCGATGAGTCTCTTGTTCTGCGGGTAAGTTGTTTTCTATTCTTACAAAAAATGAGTCTTATAGTGTTTCGCAGTGTTCTCGTTTCCCCGTCGGCACTACCGCGTTTCTGGATATTCATGTACCGTGTTTCGCCATTCACATACTTGGTTGATGCCATGCTTTCCGTCAGTCTGGCCAACGCCCCCGCGCATTGTTCTTCTATCGAAGTGTCTGTATTCAACCCACCAAGTGGACAGACGTGTGGAGAGTATCTCGCTGCTTTCATGTCGTTTGCAGGCGGATCGCTCGCAAACCCGAACGCTACATCCGAGTGTGAATTTTGTATTATCACAAACACTAATGTCTTTTTGGCGGAGGTGAACAGCTTCTTCTCCCATCGCTGGCGCAATTTCGGCCTGATGTGGGTTTACGTTGTGTTCAACATATGTTGTGCCCTCTTTTTCTACTGGCTCGGTCGTGTTCCTAGGAATATGAAGAACGTGAAAAAGAACTGAGCCTTCCTTTTCTCATTTATTTATAACTATTACTATACATGCATAGTGTTGTACCAAGAGAAGCTGAAGAACATAAGCACAAATTACTGAAAAACAAAAATACTCAAAAACGGCAGAACCGAACCGACGGTGGGGATCGAACCCACAACTTCAGCCTATCCTACTTGCTCAAGCACAGGAAAGCTACGCGCTACCATTGCGCCACGCCGGCGGCTACTTACCACTGTTCTCAATCTCATCTTCATCGGGAACGACAAAAGTGTCTATACATTCATTCATTCAGCGGATCGATAAGTATACAAAAAAGCTCGACAACAGCGACAGACGCAGAAGAAAATATCTACCCGACCCTACCCTACTACTAAGTGTACTACTAGCTATAGCTATAGTAAGAAATACATACATTTCTTCGATTCGATCCAATCCAAAAAAAAACCCCCGCCGGCGTGTAGTAATAAGACAAAAAAATCTGTAAGGTACGAGCAAAGACGGGCACGGAGCAAAAGGACGCGGGAACTAGAGATGGATATGTGGGCGATACGCTTCCCTGTCTCTGTTATCTCGAGTCTAGAGCCCAGCTCAAATGACTCGAACGACCGACAGACTTCTCCTCGTACTCCTCCTCGCTCGCTCGCTTCACATCAAATAACTCTCCCCCGCCCTCCTCTCCATAATCTCCCTCAACGGTCCAAGAAGCCTAGTGAACGCTGGCGCGTCAAGTGCAGCTACTTTCAGTTTTGGCTGTGGTGCATTTCCTCCATTCAAAGAGGGCGGCGCAAACGGATTGGTGAATATATCCGAATGTGAGTTAGAGGGCCTGAACGATGTAGGAGGAGTATCAACCGCAGGCGAGGACGGTGTGATGTTGATATTGAGAGTTGGGGTTAGCTTTGAACGTATAACAGCGCTCACTGTCGCTGCTCTCGGTGCGAGTCGAAGCAGAGACAGTTCACCAAAGTAGTCCCCTTTAACAAGTTTTCCTACTTGGATTTCTTCCATGCCATCGTCGTCGACGTCACCAGGTCTAGGCGTCGCAGAGCTAGCCCTCGGGACTCTTTTGGTAACGACGGCTTCGCCCTCCTCGACAAAGAAAAATGTATCACCCATTTCGCCCTGCCTAACGACGTGTTCACCATCCTCATAGACTTTACTGACCAGTGCATCAGCAATCTTGCTCCTCTCGGCTCCGCTCAATCCTGCAAGCAGCGTAACACTGGACAAGAAGCTCTCGTACATGGTTCTCCTCCGATGGGCGGCTTTGAGAATAATCGTTCTGAACGTTATTCGATCAACAGCCCAGAGGAGAGATGCGGTACGGGAGAGAACAGTTGCAGCACGGGGATGGCCGTACATTAGTGCAAGTTCGCCGAAAGAGGTACCTGGAGGACATGAAGCCACTAGTCTCCCGTAGACTGGGTGGATTTGAACTGGAGGAGGAGAAGAAGAAGACGAAACGGGTGATTCTGGTGTTGCGGGAGGAGTATTACCGAGAATATAACAATCCAAAATACCGTTCTCCACGACATAGAAATACTCTCCGACATCGCCCTGCTTGATAACTTCCTCGCCAGCCTCGACTCTGACCTCCTGCATAGCATTAAGTACACCAGATTCCTGCTCATCGTCCAAATCACGAAAGATGAAGTTGCCTTGTATGCTTGATTTTATACGGGCGAGCTGGGCTTGTGTTTTTGGGTAGAAGGGGAGCGGCGGAGTCGAGGATAGCTCCTCGATTGGGATCGATTCGGCCGACACAGAAGTGCGTCGGGCGAAAATAGCCGAGTTGGGTGGATGGAGAAAATCACCTGGGGTTAACGGGATGGATGAGGGCGAGAAGGGATTGGTGAACATTGTTACGGAAGGAGGCGGAGATGCATGAGCGGGAATAGTGGTAAAAGCAGTGGTTATAGAGCCGCGAGAACCACGTTTAACTTCCAATGGACCTATAGCTTCGTCATCTTGATCTATACCAACATTGAACATGGATGTCCGTCGACTCTGGCTGTGACTGTTTCTGCCACTCAGAGCATCCCGAGCTCGACTTCGCTGCTCCTCCAACCGGGCTTGGAACCAGTTGGAGCAAAATTGCAGCGCATCTTTCGCCTGTGCTCGCTCGAAATCCCGTGTCAGGTCCCTGATTAGGACGTTGAATCCTGGGTTCAAGGCGTTCATGGAGGAGAAGTGTTTGTGCCACGTGATGATTTCTTTGTCTGAAATAGGACAGTGGTGACTCATCGTGGCGTCTGTGTGACGATTCTGACCACCATGAGTGGTAGCATCGAAGCTATCTTTTCTTACTTTGACATGATGCTGATTGTCGCATCTTAGCTTTTGAAAAAACTGACGTTTGATATCAAGCAATCCAGGGTTGAATGTAATGGTATAGCTTTGAAAATTGACACATTCTCAATACTGACTTATTGTCTTGTCCCAGCATCAACCCTACTCAGCCCTACTCGCTGTACAGACTTGTTACAGTAGCTACGCATGTACGAAAGGCAGGGACGTAATCAACGCAAGCTGATCATGACTACCACTCTGAATAAAGTTTAGAACTATTCAAGTTATTTTGGTTCCATCCTGAATACTGAATCCTGGTCAGGTCATTTGTGAAACCCAATATCAATGCCAATTCAGAGGCAATGGATTGGATATTGGACAGGGATGGCATAAAGAATGTTTAAGAGTCCAGGACTGTCCTAACATCGCATCTGTATTCAAGATGTATGTATTGCTTCTTATGACAGGCAACATGAAGATTGAAGCTCAGGAGGCAAAAGAATTTTTTTCTTCACCTCCATCTGTATGAATGGGAGAGCCAAAATCTTTGGACTAATGCTCAGTGCATTCCAGATGGTCTGGGACTCCAGGTTCTCAGAACTTCACTATATTTTGTTAAAGACTTGGGGGGCTTCCATCCATCCCTCATTTTTGTTTGAGCCTTCCCATTGTCCTCCAAGACCAGATGGCTATGTAGAACATTCATCCACCACCAAATAAGTAAACTCCATCAGAGGTAAAGAACAAGTCTACCTTTTTGGTGTCATGAAGTTCCAACTGCAGTCTGCATATAGTTTTGCAATTTTTTTCTCCTTTTATTTTATCTTTGCTTCTGAATCTCAATATCTTGGGCACTTGGGATCAACATTCAATTTTGAAGCCCTGGTCCGATACGTACTATCACGTGTTTCGCAAAAAAAAACCAAGTGTTGAGGCCTTCTACATTGAGAAGCTCGAAGCCCCTCGTTGGAGTGATTGGTTACTAGGGGGCAAGAGATTCGTACAAGAAGGACTATCAGACTCAATCGGTGGTATTTTCGAGGATAGCTTAATGTTCATTCGGGGGGAGATTGGGACATTCTTGGGCATCTGTGTAAAAATCGAAGTTAGTGAGTTTTGCACCAATAGTACACACGAAGTACACAAGATCATAAAAGTCCCCATCCTTTCCCACCTCCTCACACATACCACAACATGCCCCATTATGTATGATGCTTCTGTACATCGCTACTATTTGTAGATCTGAGTGTATCTTGAGCAGCAACGCGAGCGGCGCCCATGAATACCACTCGCAAGAAACAGAATTAGCCAGGTGGTTTGCAATATTCATTTAATGGCAAGGGAAAAATGGGTCCAAGGAAGTTCTTGAACCTCGTCTGTTTCACTATCTCTCGCAGATCCATGATTGGTAGGCCCGATTTAAACCACGACGCTGTTCAAATGCTTCAACGTTACCATTTCGCCGCGCTGCCAAAGTTTTCGATACATCATAGTCGAGCGATGGCTCAATGCTGCCCTCTGAAAGAAGGGAAGAGAAATAATCTGTTATCGTTGGAGAGTGGACTGTACAAAACAGATACAGAGTTAACAATGACCCCGAAATTGTAACACAGTATCCGCGTCAAAATGAAAGAAAAAAAAACATTAAAAGCATAGACACAGTATAGAATAAACCTTTTAATGTCAAGCAAGGCGATAGTCTCCGTCGTCAACGATGTCAACAGAGATACCAATACCATCCTTCTCGAATTCTCGAAATTTGACTGCTATGCTCTTATTCTCGACGTGTTTATGCGAGTCATTGAAGAGGTCCATCTTCAGTCTTCGCAGATGTGAGGAGGAACCGAGTGTTCTTCTCAACCGAAGAAAATTCACTAGCAACGGCACTTTGCGAAGGCAAGTCCCCACAGTGAGCTCCTGTAAATTGGGCAGTAGTAGCTTGCCCTGCTCGAGGCCAAAGTCATAGTCATCGTCCGTGTCATCGTCGTCTCCATCCTGCAATGAATGACGAAGATTCGGAGGGGTCAAGACTTTCAATAATCGAAACACGAATTTTCCCTTCCGCAGAGAATTCTCCTTGTATTGCAAACATGTAAGGTTCGGCAGAAGATGCAGCAGCTGCGTAAGATCACGAGAAGTGAAGGGAATTCGTCGAAGCGTGAGGAAGGTCAAGCGGGCTTGACTCCGAGTCAGCAGGGAACATATGGATTTGACAACATAGGGAGCTTCAGTGTGCCGCACGGATGCCAACATAAGGTGATCTAGCTCAGGACTAGTGATTGTATCCAGCATGGAAGACACGAAACCCGAACGACTCGAAGCATCCTTCTGCGTGATAATACGTACTATCCTCGCATGATGCAAAGTAAGGGGCCGGCACTGCGGGAAATCATCATCACCTCTGATATCGAGGATAATAATCCGTACGTTGGGAAAACTGTCAAGGATACGAGAAGCATGCTGGAAGGTGAGCCCGCGCAAGTCTGTGCAATTGGCGGTGTGGCAAGGTTGCGTGAATTTGAGGTCTACGTCAAGACGATCAAGTTCGAGATATTGAAGCTTCGGACAGGTAATTGTTATGGATTTGGAGAGAGTTAGATCTGAGAACCGGACAGTGAAATTGCGTAGTTCAGGGAATATCCTCCCATTCGCAAGAAACAGTCGTAGAAGTGTTGCGGGAAGGACAGTTCTCTGTCCATGTATGATCACAGAACCCCAACGATTGGTTTTCTGAGTGGAAAAGAAGTCCGTTGCGTCGTAAAAATCTTCGGTGGACCGGTGCTCGACGTTGATCCAAAAGGAGAGCTTATGCAGGCGTGAACGTTCAAGGAAAAGTGGAATCATTGGGTGAGGCTTTTGGAGCTGCTTAGACCCGAACTGGAAGGAGGACCATAAGGCTGGCATAGAGACGACCATGTTATACCATCTGCTACACACTTGGCTAAGAGCCAAGGTTGCCAAACTATGGCTTCCGTTTCGTCCGACAGAGTTATTACTAGGATGTTTGCAGGAGACGAGCTTGAAAATTTCTCCTAGAACATCCTGGGGAAGCCTGCGAATAGGTGCACTCATGGAAGAGAATTCCCTCTTTATAAAACTTCAGCCGACTTTCACAAGTCTCCAAGACGGTAATGAGGCTTCGCAATGCTGTCGAGTTCGACCTGACAACGATCTATGCTTTTCTGCGTGTCGCGCGTTAGAATATCCAGAGCTGGAAGGTCCAAAGGGGAGGCATGATATCCGGAGCGTATGGCGCTAACGATATTGGCGCAGCGGAGTTTCCGTATGTCCAGCTCGAATACTTGAGTATCACAGTTTGTGCACGAGAAGCAGTTCGCAATATCCTTGGTCAAGTCCAGAACAGCAGTTATGGATCCTATAGAAAACAATTATAGTAGCTTGACACGGGCGACATAATTTTCTTTACCTTTCGATTTTACCATTACTTAGAGCAAATCAGAGTACGCGTCTAAGTGCGTGCTTGGGCGTCTATCGCACACATACTCTTTCCAGACGACCATGTCAGCTCGAACCTCTCTCCAAATACCCTCCTCATCTTCCTCTCCCTTAAATCCTTCAAACTCCTCATTTAATTCGTCCTCATCAAATAATCCTGCCCTCTCGCTTCCTCCATCCCTTGCCGCCCTCGCTGCTTATGCTGACCCGCCAACACGCCACGTTGACGGCGCAATGATGGACTATTTCCTAATCGAAGTGGTCAATACCTTGCGAGAATCGACAAAAGTAGCAATTAAAAGAGAAAAGGAGCGAGAAGCGGTGATGAAGGAGGCTGGATTGATTCCTAGCAATTCGAATAATGCTAATACGAGGGATCCAACCGCGTCTGCTAGAGATTCGACTAGTAGTTTGGCATCTACCAAGGTCGGGAGCGGGAAGGGTGCTGCAGGTCCAGTAGACTGAAGAAGAAGAAGCGTTGAAGATGCGCTTGGAGGCTATTGGTATGCATGTGGGGAGTAATTTCTCAGAGAGGTTCGTTGACCAACTCCGATTTCATTGCTTTTTTTACTAAACTCCTAGCAGACTATGCCTCAACCGTTCCCTCTTCACGGAAACACTCGATGCAATCAAGTTTATCTGCAAAGATATCTGGGCCGCGTGTTGGGATAAACAGGTTGATAATTTGAGAACGAATCATCGGGTGGGTACCGTATCAAAACTCTATTTACACTCTACGGTCTAATTTACGATCTAGGGTGTCTATGTACTACAAGACAATTCGTTCAAGACCATCTCTCGTCTGTCGTCCTGGCAGGGTAGGCCGGACGCTGTCAGGAAGGCTCGAGTTGTTCGTCTCTTTGTTTTATTTCCATGCTTATGCATTCGATGACGCCTTTCTAGTACGTCTCCCTACCGGCAGGAATCATTCGAGGCGCTCTTGCCCGTCTAGGGTATAACGCGACAGTTTCTCCTGAAGTCGTGAATTTACCTCAATGTGGGTATTCGTTTGCGTTCCTTCGCTTCGCGGGAGGATAGGGATTCCGTTCGCATTCATTCTGTATTTTCGTCTCTCCTGCCTCCCTTCTCGAGCTGACTTTCGTGACATAGGTACATTCCAAGTCAAACTACCGAAAGGATCGTAGGCTCAGAGTAAGGATTGATCTCCCTCCGACTCTCCTGAGTTCTGTTGTCTTCTCCCCATTTTCGCTCTAGATGCTCGATCTTCGCGCGATTCGCGGGAAGCGTAAGGACGAGGACCGGGATGGACGTGGATGGACGACTGGATGAGGAAGGCTGCTGGAGAGCTGGATACAGGAAATTGAGTCGCTGTTTGCTTCCTCTTGACTCTTGACCTCAGAGCTCTGAGGATGTTCATTCCCCTCCCTTTGCTTTCATTGCATTTCACTGTACATGTATTTCCCTGAGTGGATTGGTAAGAGGTCAACGCTTGGAGGGCAGAAATCGACGAGAGCACCGACTAGTTCATCCTACATAAGTCATTATCTTATTATAAGCAAAGTGATGGATATGACGATAGACGTACGAATGGACAAGATTCTTTTCTAGGGTTCAATCGTCAATACTGATGAGAGGAATGAAGATTGTGCGAAGTTCAAAAGTCCGACCTGGTGACCATTTTTGGATGGATAAATACATCCCAGAGACGTACCAATCACTAAAAGGCTCTGGAGCTCGTGCTAGTACCCCGGTTCAGTGGCTTGGGTAATAGCAAGGCACAAATACTCTAAAGGACCGACAAATCCTTCTTTACAAGCCTCTTCAACAAACGTCTCTAATGAGAACTCAGCGACAGGTCCTAAATGCCGGAGAGTATATCTGACGTTGTGATAGATTCCTTAAATTTGCATCTCAAGTTTGCAAAGGCCACGGAATGCATGTGTATCGAACTTGAACGCGTTCTTCGAGGGCGGAGTGGGTATGTACAACTCTCCGGCACACGAAAAAAGAAACACACAAAAGGAACTCTAGCGCATGGGTTTGAAACCGACGACGGACTCGGATCCGCAACTTCAGCCTACCGAATGCTTGATCACTATGAAAGCTACGCGCTACCATTGCGCCACGCAGGCTTAAGCGCAAATGTGGACTATCTGTCTTACGTGCATCGTGAAACTCCTCGTCCATAAATGAAAGGAACGAATAGGTTAATTTGTATAATAATGACTTTCCGGATACGTAATAAGTTACAGTACGCTGATGTATACTGTTCCATCCATCCAGTCCAAATTTACTACTTTATGGGCTTTATCATCTTCCTCACTCTACAAACTCAAACGCATCCATCTCACCCAACCCCGCACTAACAACCCTCATCATATACCTCTTCACCCACTCTGGTCTACGGATATATCGCTCCCGTGCTACGGCTTGGGCTTGAGCTCTACGTGCGTTTAGTTCTTCTCCTACGACGGGACCTCCCTGCGCTCCTTCACCTTCACCTTCGCCTTCGCCAACTCCATTGCCCTCGCCCTCTTTCATTCGCGCTAGAATCCTCATTACTCGCCAAAAGCATCCTCATCTCCTCGCGAACCCTTCCCTCCCTCTCACTCAAATACCTCCTCCGCTTGTTCCATACTGCGGGATGGGCAGTTGCGAGGAAAAGGGCAAGGAAGGAGACGGATTTGTTGAGGAGGGAGGGTTCAGGTACGAGCTGGGCTTGTACGTCGTTGGTTTGCGCATTGGGATTGGATTGGGATCGGGACTTGGACCGAACGAAGCCAAGGCTACTTCACCTTGTGGAATGTCGATCGAAGCAAGAGTGTCGATTATAGAGTCTCCGTTAGCGATAGCGGGTAGGTTACCGTTGCCGTTCACGGGTGGATTTGGGTTCGGAGGTACTTGGGCACCAGCGGCAGCTGGATCATCGATTCGGACCTGTCCTGCGTCGTTTCCATTTCCATTCCCACCGTGCTGTCCCCCATTCGCATTCACAGCTCCACCTGCTGCTGCTGCCCCGCGGCTTCATTCTCTCCGTCACCAAGCCCCAACGCCCTCCTAACAGGACCCCAAACCTCCCACACAACCCATCCCACAATGATCAGCGCCAGGAAAGGTTTCCTAGTGGGAGCGATAAAGTATAAGATGAGAAGAGTGCGGAGGATAAGAAGGAATAGGTGCGGGAGAAGAAGTTGTTGGATGGGATTTTGGTTTTCACCTCCCGCGACGTTTTGGCCGACGGGGTTGGCGTTGTTGGCGTTTGCTTGAGGGTTTTGGGGAGGTTGGCCCGCAGCGCCCTCCGGCGGATGACCAACGATGGTCGGAGTCGGAGCAGGGAGGTTTCGGATGGGAGGTAGACCCATTTGCTGCAGGATTGCGTTTAGATGGGCTGGAACCTGGACGGGAGGAGTAGAAGCCGAAGCCGTGCTGGGATTAGCATTAATTGCAGTCATAGGGACAGCCGTCAATTTGAGCAACTCGATAGTATAGGAAAGAACTTTGAATGCGTGAATTTGAGCTGCAGTCGGCGTTGCGGTGGGACTGAGTAGACGGAGGTAAGGCCGATTGCTACGTTACAAGTTATTAGTTGTTTTATTAGTTTTTAGAAGAAAGGAGCTCACTCGATAACAACACGAACATATTCAACACCCTTTTCACTCGTCGCTGGATACGCTTCATCAAGAACAGCAGGCCAGATGTAGCCGTGACTTGTTACGAATGAGATTGCGAGTATACGCGAGCCAGACTTTGGTTCTGTGAACAGTGTATGCGTGAGCTTGGATAACGCTTCTCTATGTTTCCAAAGTAGGAATGATGTCGCAGGCGGCGCTGTCTTTGTCGTCGGCGTCGGCCGAGGCACCTCCGGTACCTCCTTCTCCTTCTCCTTGCCTTTCCCAGCCTTGACTTCAGCCTTTGTCTCCTTCTCAATCTGTGGCGGATTGCCCCTCCAGCCCGAAGGATGTACACTCAAATGTACTACCATATCTCCCTCCCCCGACCACAACTCCCGAACCAACTCTCCATCTTCTAAATAGCGTCCTCTCCAAATAACTCTCTTGTCCTTCGACTCGTGGCGACCCGGGGCAGGTAGCTGGAAATCGCGTGTTTTATTTCGAGGACCGTAGGCTTGTCATTAGTAAGAGTGATCGTAAACGAGTGCCCATAAGCTGGTAGTTCAACCCGGATAAGGATTGGTTTGAACTCGGAGGTCATCGTGGTCAGATTCAAAGACGTGGAACGACGTGTCGTCATTAATTAACTACGGCCCGTACCGGTCTCGTCGAACCGGAACGCGTATTTACGTGATGGCGTAGTTGGTCATCTAACATGAAGGTCCCCGGTTCGAGCCCGGGTTGAACCATATGACAGTTTAAGGCTTTTTGTAACATTTTAAAAAAATTTTATTTCCTTGGGCTGCGACGATGCTGGGTATACTGTAAGTCCGAAATTGATCGACACCTCACTAGCACTCTGCAACATGTTGCCAAAAAATTCCGCCAATCTCAGAACAGCTGCTTTCAACAAAGTTGACAGAGCAATTGCAGTCTGCAGACTGTGATGTTCCTTCCTTAAATGCTCTTCTGTTCTGCCTCTGCTCAGGCTGACCCTGCCAATTCCAATTTTACACCAGAAGACAATGAGCCAGCAACGACTTGCTAGTGACAAAAGAAAGTTCATAAAAGTATTCTCAGGCTGAGTCCAACAACCATAAAAGGAAATCGCCGGCTGGCGATAACTTCAATGAACCTGCTGGGTTTCGCGTCCTCACCATCAACTCACCATGACAAGCAGTGAGGGCTTTACTCAGACTCTCAAAGAGCAAGGAAATGAGCACTTCAAAGATCGTGACTTTGTCGAGTAAGTTCGTTTTCTCGATTGAGTGGCATCTGGTACTCAACTATGCATAGAGCTGCAGGAATCTACAAGAAGGTATTACTTTAACGTCTGAGGCTCTTTGTTCGTTCACTCAGAGTGCTTCAGCTGGAATCTTTGAGTCCTGATGACCCAGTACTCTCTTCGAACTTGAGTACCGCACTGTACGAATTGGGCGATTACGCTGGATGCTTTCACGCCATATGTCGGGCGGCGAAAAAAACTTCCCAGTCCAATCACTCAGGTCTCCTCCTTAAACTCTCCTCACGTTTGGCCAGGACTCTTAGCCAGGGTTTTTGGAGTGGCATCATTACACCACCGCAGATAGAGGACGAAAAAGATACGATCGAGGCATTGAAATCTGCCGCAAAGAATGTTCCTGAGGTTCAACGCCTCTGGGGGCAATGGTATGGAGCAGAGTCGCGTTCGAAAGAAGAAATTGCTACTGCTAAACGTCGACTTGCGGACTTGCCGATTTTCAAACGAACATTGTGTGTGTTTTTTGTGTTATGTTGAGCCGTCACTGACGCTCTTGTTTAATTTTGCAGCTCATCTCATCCTGAATATATTTCGGTCAGTTTCGACTTGACTTTGCTGAGTGCGAAACTGATCAAACTATGCGAGTAGATCGGGCACGACGAACTGCTGAATATCGTGAACGACTTTGGGGGCTCAGATGATCCTATATACCTGGACCGCCTCACATCTTCCCAACTTAAAAACCTCGCGTTCATGTTCGCCGGAGTCGGTGACGGTAAGTTTGTATATTCACTAGGTGCTTGAAGCTCATATCCTTTGGCTTCACAGCGCACCACGTTTTTGGGTCTATCATCGGATTAGGAAAAGTCTACGCCAAACTCACTCAAGCTAACAAGAGCAATTTTCAGGTTCACTTCACCCTCGTCGACATTAACCCCACCGTGTTCGCTCGCGATCTATGCATAATGCTTCTTTTGAACGACCTTTTGACGAAGAAAATGTCTTCTTCCGATAAACAATTGACTGAGGCGACTCTTTTCTATGTCTACGCTGCCGTTATCATGCCCGAGATGTGTCACAACAGGTGAAGTGTTATATTCGACGTCTTAGCAGGGTACATTTTCTCATATTAGTACACACGTCTGTATCTAGGTTTCTCCAAGTTGCCCGAAAACTCTCGGATAATTTGAGATCCAAACCTCCGCAGCTCCCAGCGTGGATTCATGTTGATTCAATTGCCTTACCTCCTATCCTCGACTCCCTTGATTTCTGGACCCTCGAAATGCTTCCTAGAAGCGTCGCCAGCATCTTTTCTAGCATACCTTGCCCTACCCGGCAGAACCGTAGTAGTCCTATAACCGACGCTATGGACCCCCGGCTGCTACTTAATTCATTATCAGAGGAGCAGCTTGCCTCAGCCGTTGCCGAATATATGCCCACTCCATGCCCCAGTCGTCATCAACCACAGCAGCGAGCCAAATGGCTGAAGGAGGGGAAAGAAAAATCAATCTCAGAGTTTGCCAAAATCTGGGATGGGGGACTAGAACTACGGCTGGAGCGAGAATGGTATAATCGACTGAAGAGTTTCGTCCCTCCTCGTTCAATTCGCGGTCCTGTGCAGGATGGGGTTTGGAAGAATATTTGGACCCTTGATGACTTTTCGAATCCGGACTTAGACAAGGTGAACAGCTACCGATTCCTGATTTGAAACTGATGTTGAGACGTTGAGATAGGCTGCAGAAGAGATTAAATGCACGTGGAAGATTAACGCTTCGCTCTATGTACGTTCCTAACAACCATACAGATCAGCATGCAAACTTAACTTGAGACCGTTTAGAACTTCATGTACGATCTTGTGCCAGACATGGTTCCCACTTGGGTGGGATATGATGCCTTTTCTCTGGTTGATAAAATCCAGGACTTCAATCGTCGGGTTGGTATCGAGAAGTTGACTGATGACATCGATAAAGATTGTCCGTCATTATTCGTATTTTCGACCTTTTTCAATGCCGTCGTCGACGCGTTGAAGACCCTCAAAGGCAAAATTACAGTGGAATTATTTCTCGGCGAGATGTGCCAGACACTTGCAACGATGCGCTCTGGTGACCAGCGGCCAGCGAATTTTCCTCGAAAATTTAACCGTATGTGGTTGAGCAACGTCCCGTCAGCAGTTCATCTTGCCTCTTCGATATCAAACTTGACCATTTTCTTCATCCAGGGACTATACACACGGCCCTCTGAACACAGCAGTTTACCTTGTTCCTTGTCTTGTTAACGACAT